AACGCGAGGAAGAATTTCGAGCAAAAGACATTTATAGATAACAATTGCACTTTCACAAATCCACAGTTAAACATAATCCAAATGATGGAAAATGCATATAAACATTTTAACAGAAATGCGTAATTCAAAGGATTTCACAAAATACCCTACTGGAGTTCCAAGTAGGTCACCTATATACCCCACCAACATCCTGATGGGTCCAAACAATCCCTGCAGGTCCAAACATACCTCATCGATACTGGATGAGTCCAAATAGCCCCTACCGGATAAATCTAAACAATCATTGCAGGTCCAAACATACCTCACTGGCATCCCGGATGAGTCCAAATAGTCCCTACCGATAACAATCACTTTCATTGAATATATCTCTACGTAGCCATTTAAACATTTTGTGCAATAATTTCTTAAAGATAACAGTTCTGAAGGACATTCTTGAAATCTAATATGATAACAGTCCAGTCTCAATAAAAGAACCCTTATGGGAATCCAAAATTAAATACAGAACTATCACAATTTATGGAATTAGTCAATTCGTAAATAATTATTTCATAGGCAATACTACAATCAAGTGCAGAAATATCAGTTTTTCAAATAATGAGGAAGTCATTTGCACATGAATTTTACAATGTCTAAATATTCAAAATAGTAGAAGGAAAATCTCACAATTTTACTAAAAGCGAAAATATCACATTTATTTCTAATAACTTATAGTATTTAAAATTATGAACAATAGACAGGAAAAATAAATTTATTTCTAAGAATTTACAGCATTTAAAATTCTTAACAATAAATAAAATATCACAATTTTTACTAAAAAGATTATTTTTTGAGACAATGAGATCGCTTACTTATGTGTCACTTGAGAGAGCCTACGACTGAGAGAGTTGACTGAGAAGTTTCCTAAATCATCCACCCAAAGCCTTTTCCCACAAAAATCCACAGTACAATGGGGAATCTCTACATAATACATGCACAGTCTACCTCTCGAGTGACAACAATATTCACCCTTTACGCTAAAAAAGCACTCATTGAACCTGTGCGGCCCATTGTGAAGAATGATTGAGCCAATACATTAAAAATGACCAGGACATAGCATCCCAACCAAATTCTAAACATACAATGTGTCAAAGGTAGCTTGCCTAATGTCACTACGAGGTAGATGAAGACTATTTTCTTTTGAGAGAGAGAGATTCATTGTTTTATGTTAGAGAGAGAGAACAGCCTTATAATACATAAGAGGGAGAACTTTATAAAATTTTAACACCGTTCATTGAAAGTGTCTTAATAATGGATAATGAAGTTTCTTGGGTTGTCATGTAGGGTGGTGAAGCATCTCCTTAAAATGCTTCTGTAAAAGTTGTGGACCAAAGGTCCACTTAGCAAAATGGGTCCTACATAAGGGTGTTGGAAATGCTACCCAATTGTAAGGTAAAACATTGTGCAAATGTAGTGTAGACCATAAGGTCTACACTATAAAAATAGACTTGCACCATATTAAAAAATATAAATAAATAAATAAATAAATTATTTTGAACTATTTTATTTAACAAAAAGGCTAATTGTCGTCTATGTGTTTCAAAAGACGTCTTCCCAAATATATCAAAAAAAGACAAAACGAATGGTTCTTGAGGACCAAAATGTTCATATGGATCACCACACTATGAAAAGTTATTTAAACTTTTTTTTTTTTTTGAAAGTTTAGGATTGTTACAATATCCCTTGAAATTTTCAAGGGTATTTTGATCATTTTTTTTATTGGAAATATTTTTTTATATTTTTCGCTAGCGTGGAGGATTGGACATACAAAATTTGGGGTTAAGATAGTTTATAGAAAAATAAATAAATAAAATAGTGTAGAGACGTAACATTGTGATTGGGGCAATCTTAGCCCTCCATTCAGAATGGACGGTTAGATTAGGGGAAGTATATAAGTTTTATGTTGTAACAGAAGCATAAAAAGCTTTCTTGTGTAGAGACGTGACATTGTGATTAGGGCAATCTTAGCCCTCCATTCAGAATGAACGGTTGGATAAGGGGAAGTATATAAGTTTCTTGTTGCACGGGAAGCATAAAAAGCTTGCCCAATTTGTTTTTTATCCCGAACAAAACTTTTTTTTTTCCACTTTTTATACTAAAATATAATTTTCTAGCAAATACTCCCCAAATATAACAAGGTACATTTTTTTTGACGAAAATACCTTTTTCATACATAAAAAATTAATTTGGCCAGACATTTATGTGGGCTTACATGTGTTGCGGGACAGCCATGTACCAATTGTTGGATCCTGTTAAAGTAAAAAAAAGTGTCGAACCGCTCTTTGACATTGTTCAACCGTACTTTGAGCTTGTTACTAGACCGCTCTTTGGCAGTGTCGGACTGTAAGGGTCTATTGCCGGACTATTCTTTGTCAGTACCAGACCGCTTTGGGATATTGTTGGACCACCTTTTTTTGTGTTATGGGAAAAGTTCAGTAGTCGGTGTTAGAAGAGAGAAAGAGCATTTTGGTCCTAAAAACTATAACTTTTTGACTGAGGGTATTTGCTAGAAAAACTTGTTTTAGGGTAAATGTTGCGATAAAAACTTTGATTGGGTAAGTTGCAAAGAAAGTTGGGTTAAGGCAGGTTTTGTAACTCTCCTTACTATTCATTTACTCTTGAACAATTGTTTTGTGCAGGCTCAACCGCATTTCTACAATTCAGTTAGCATGTGGCCAACCCGCATTTTGTAGAAATGCAGGCTTGGCAATTAATATATTTTTAAATATAATTTGATCTTAATTTTTGGATAATATATAATCTTTAACATGGAGTTCATGAATATAAAAAAAATAATAAATTTTGAAAACTAAAAATAATAATTATATTAAGATATCATTTGGACTGTTAGTTACAATTGTTTTTAGATGGATGTTGTACAAATATAGTCTAGCCCGCATGAAACAATTGTTATAAATATGCAGCCCAGTCCGCAAATTGTAGAAGAACAATTGTTTCATGCGGGCTAGACCGCATTTGTACAATATGCGGTCCGGAGGTACAAAGCATCCAAACAATTGTTATAAATATGCAGCCCAGCCCCCATATTGTAGAAGAACAATTGTTTCATGTGGGAAGAACAATTGTTTCATGTGGGCTACACCACATTTGTACAATATGCGGTCCATAAAGCATCAATCTTAAAAATGGATGCAAATAGGTGGTCCATTTAAAAACAATTGTAACTAACGGTCCAAGTGTTTTTTTAATATAGTTAGTATTTCTAGCTTTTTTAAAAAAAGATTTTTTTCTGTATTCATGATCTCCATGTTAAAGATTATATATTCTCTAAAAATTAGGGTCAAATTTTATTTAAAAATTATATTTATTGCCAAGCCCAAATTTCTATAATATGCAAACTGGCCACATGCTAACCGCGTCATTTACTCTTTGGGGTAAAACACATGTTAGGGATGTTGTTTGGATCTTAAAATCTGGAATGTAATGTCTACAACTTATAAAATAATCTTAATATAGAGAACTTTTAAATAAACTCTCTATGTACTAAAAAGAAAAAAAAGAGATGGTATACCATGAGACCATTTTACCTTTAGCATAGGAGGTCATAATTATTTATAGGAAAACGGTTTATATGGAGTTGAGGCTCTAAAAAATCAAATTAGAGTCCATCTCAATAATTTCACTAGACGAGGTTGTTTTGTTGCCCAAATACCTTAAAATTGATCATCTTGGCATCATGATGCATGAACATGAGAAAAAAAATGAATTTCAAGTTTTGGAAATAGTGAATCTTGTAGCACATTTTTTTACCGTCGATTTTCAAGATTATAGATATGCTCGATCAACACTATTTTCAAAGCTTTAAAGTTTATAATTAGACATGAAAATATATATTAAGGCTATCACAAAGATTTCCAATATTGAAATGCCATTTCTCAACACTATTTGAAAGTGTGATCTACTTTGATTGTTTAGAGCCTCGGCTTTATACAAACCGCACGCTTATTTATAACTATCGAATGTATAACTTGAGAGCTTGGGTGTATCACAAAGTTCCCAAAAAAACAAAAAGAATTGAACTTTAAGCTCCATCAATAAAATAAATGTAACCATCCAATTGTGACCACCTTATATCAAAGATAAAGAGTCTCATTATATACTTTTTTCCTGAAATTCCTGAAAAAAAACAAAACACTAATCCATCTTAATGGGTCTCGCACCTGCTGTCACACAAAAAAAACTTTCCGTTTTTAATGCCTACGTCTCGCAAAAAACTTTTCGTTTTTTTGAAGGGAATAAGGACACAATATGATATTAGGGGAGCACGTTAGAATATGTTTTTCACCGCTTTTGGTGTTTGACCCCAGACCACATATAACCCAACTGGTGTGTTGCAGGTGCTTCACGCGTGTCACTGGAATATTAATCAATTTAACATTATTGATATTTAATTATTATATTTATGTAGATTTAATTAGTTAGAAAATATATAAATAGTTTTATAGAAAAGATGCATTATACTTCTCTTTGTAGAAATTTAGTCAAAACATAAAAATAAAAATATTATCATACTTTATTCTAAAATCTTACATTTTATTGTGTTGCATTTTAATTACATACGATTAAAAGTAAAAGTTTTATAATGGCAAATTGTTTTATGCGGGCTGAATAGCATGACTACATATGTAGTTCACAAAATGTAAAGCATCTATCTTAAAGATGGATACAAGTAGGTCTTCCAACTAAAAACAATGGAAACTACCAAAAGTCCAAAAATCCATCTCAAAAATACATCTATTAAGAGGCCCGCATTCTACATATATGGGATTGGCTACATAGAAACCGAATCCTTTTATAATAAGAAGACAATATTGCTTTTTAATGGAATGTGGTCATATCTACATATATATTTAATGAATATAAGATAATTAACTTGTTAATAAAAATCTATTGTAACATCAAACATTTGTTTATAAACTTGTACAATTTTTGTTAAGCAACACTATTACAAAGTACAAACAATATTTCAAACTTGGTGTTCAATAGACAATTGTGTCTCCCTATATTTTTTTGTATATAAAATATGGAAGTCAGAAGTTGTAATTGAAAAATGGGAGATGTAATATTTTATCGGGGCATAAGTCTAATGTGAGGATTTTATAAAGGAAAATTGTTTCATGCAAGCTAGGCCGCATTTCTATAATATGCGGTTCAGAGATCTAAAGCATCCATCTTAAAGATGGAAGCAAATAGGTGGTCCATTTACAAACAATTGTAACCAACGGTTCACATGTTTTTTTAATACAATTATTATTTTTAATTTTCAAATAAATTTTTTTTTTTCATATTGATGATCTTCATGTTAAAGATTATATACTCTCTAAAAATTAAGATCAAATTATATGTAAAAAATATATTATTGCCAAGCCCGCAGTTCTACAATATGCGGGCTGGCTGCATAGAAGCCGTGTCTTTTTATAAAGGAAAAAGTTTATATAAATATGCAACCTTATAATGTAGAATTACAGATGCACCTCAAAAATCCATTGGAAAAGGTAGTTTTAATGTTGAAAAACCGTTTGATTGATCATCTAGACATCGAGATGTACGACCATGAAAAATAAAAAGATTTTAAGTCTAAAAAATAGTGCATTTTACAACATGTTATCTACACCGTCCATTTTCAAGATTTTATATGTTTATAGATCTACTTTATTTTAACCATTTTTGAAATTTAAAATTTTATAACTAGATATAAAAATAGATTTTGAGATAATCGTAAAACATTTTACATCCAAATTATATACCATGATAATATTTGAAGGTGCACCTTACCTCTACAGCTACGGATGCATATGCAAACTGAACCCTTTTATAAAACTCCCAAAACAAACAATCAATGTCCTTTGAATTCTTAAAACATTCCTATATTAAATCATGGGATATTAGGTGATAGAAAGTAACAAGAGCAAGAGGTAACAATCCCAAAAATTCATCACAATCAATTTATAACACATAAAAGTTGTCATATAATAATTAAATGCAAAGTAATCATAAAATAAAATCCTTAAAAAATAACATAATCTGAAATTCATTAAAAAATAGATAACAAAAACAATCACAAAAAATTTGAAGAGCATAAAAATCAGTAATTAAATATAATCCTTCAAAAATAATGAGAAATTAAATAAAGTTAGTTATCTAATTATATTTAAAAAATTCAATAAAAAATAAACCACGTATATTATTGAAGATAGAATATCAAGTCCAATAAAAAATAAACCACATATATTATTGAAGATATAGTATCAAGTCATTGTTGGGATATGGATATCTCGGGTTCATATATGTATATATCTCTGGATAAGGTTCGGTATCTAAAAGATAGAGACCAAGTTACTTGGTCATCAAGTTATCATACTATATTTATCTCATGTAATTATGTGATTGTCCTCTCTATATATAGAGATACTTATTGATGTAAACATTTATCAAATATAATGAAGATGTAGCTGGTTGGAGCTATGGATCTTCCTGAACCATGTAAATGTTGTGTTCTCTCTCTCCATTATATGCTCCCACAAGTTAATGTTATGTTCTCTCTTCATTCTAGGCTCCCACAAATTCCCTTGTTGGTGGTGCTGCCTAGGTCTTCTTTATTAACATGTGTTTTCTCTCCATTCTATGCTCCCACAAGTTCCCTTCTTGGTGGTGCTGCCCAGGTCTTCTTTGCAGAGAGCCCATTGTCCATCTCCAATAAAAAAATTGGCATGAATATGAGGAAGAAGAGCTAGAGAGAGAAATAATACCCCGCATGTATACGAGGCATAGTGATTGCTTTCTCGGAGACTGGTTATCGCAATACCCTACCTTGCGTGTATACAAGGCATAGTGATTGATTTCTTGGAGACTGGTTATTACAATTCCCTGCATGTATACGAGCCACAATGATTGCCAACACGAGAGAATAGGATTAATCTAGAGAGAAAGACCGGTTCTAGGAGGTTGGGATTTTGGCCACATCATCATCTTCTTAACTCCTCAAAGCTGACGCTTCCATCACCGTCCAAATTGACGGTCGAGTTCAGCTAACAACAATCTTGATACGAACACTTCTCACCGAGCTTCTTCAACACCATGTGAAGCTCCTTGGCCAAAATCGAACCGTTCTTATCGAGATCGTACATCGCAAAGGCGTCTCTCAAATCCACCATGCTCGCATTGCTATCCAAGGGCGCTTTGTTGTTGATCACGACAAACTCCTCGAGCAAGATGAAGCCATCATCATCGGTGTTGGCCTCAGCCATCACCCGAGTCACCTCTTCATCAAAGGGGTTCGATCCAAGGGCTCGGAGCATCGCACCGAGCTCAACCATCCAGATCTTTCCGTCTCCGTTGCTATCGAAACCGTTTGAAAATTTTCTCCACCTCTTCCTTGTTGGCTAAGCAGAGCGAGTTGTTCACGTCCGCCACATCCATTATCGTCTCTTTCTGGCTCTCGTAGGTTGCAGGAATTTTAGATATTTGGGTATTCCTGATAGTTGGCGTGACTCGATCCTGTTTGTTCCGAATGCCTATGTTTAATGATTGAGTTTTTCATTACTCAATCCTGTTGGAGTTTTTCGTTGCTCCATCCTGTGTGATGATCGTCGAGTTTTTCATTACTTGATCCCGAAAGCATCCTGTGTGATGATCGTCGAGTTTTTCATTACTTGATCCCGGAAGCATCTTGTGTGATGATCGTCGAGTTTTTCATTACTTGATCCCCGGATCTTCCGAAGAAGACAGAAAAAAATATCATTTTCTTTTAGAAAGAGAGAGCTTCTAGAAAAAAAAAGAAGCCTCTGAAGAGAGGAGATCTTCAGAGAAGCCTCTAAAGAGAGGAGATATTCAAAGAAGAAACGTTTTTTTGGCAACTTAGTATTGTTCAATCTTCAGAGAATAAACATTTTTTTGGCAACTTAGTATTGTTCAATCTTCAGAGAAGAAACATTTTTTTGGCAACTTAGTATTGTTTAATCTTCAGATAAGAAACGTTTTTTCAGCAACTTAGTATTGTTCAACCTCCAGCTGCTGTTGTCAAAATCAAACTCCAGCTTCAAACTCCAGCTGCTTTGTGTCAAAGTATCTTGAGTTTGAGGGGGAGTGTTGGGATATAGATACCTTAGAATAGTTGGGAAATAAGGAACAAGCCTTTCAAAAGGAATTTAGAAAATAGGAAAAAGATCTAGATTAAGCAAGTAACAAACAAAGCTAAAAATAAATAAAATGAGAGAGAAGGAAGAGTGGGCCTACTTGTATGCCCAGTGCATGAGCCCCACACCTGAGGTTAGGGTCGAGTCAGAGCATGTCGGTGTGAGGGGTCCATCCCCATTGTCTTTCATAATCCTGGGCCATAAAAACCCATTGTTGAAGTTGTGTCAAAGCCGGAGACGCCTTCGAGGAGAGGATGGACTATCATGGTCTAGGGTTACCCTCAGGGTAGTTTATAGTTGTGAGTTTAGAATCGAGAGGCCAAGTCCATGTCCTTGAAGTTGTGAGGAGGTCTAGGAAGTCAAGGTTTGGTGTACCTAGGGTTTTTAGGGTTCATGGGGGCAAAGGCAAAATCCGAGCATAAGCATAGTTTTGGGGTAAATGGCAAAATTTGGACCAAAACTCAATTTAAGGGATTCTTTTTATAGGTCAAGGAGGGATGTAACTGCCACTTGGGGAGATGGATCAGTTTGGGCTATCCACTCCCTGTGAGTGCATTTGGGTCGCATGCAACCCTCAAGGGTTGTGCATGAGCCGATACCCTGGTGGTCATTGTTTGGCACCAAATAGAGGCAATTACACAAGTTTGTCCACGAATGATGCAACTCGTGAAGGTTTAAGGTGATTATGACCCCTTCTAAATATTACTTTATTTTTTTTCTTGGGTCAAATTTAGGGTTTAAGTTAATTAAGGTGGTCAAACGTTGATTACAGGCTAAACCAGGCTGAGGGCTCCTAACCTAGGTTTTTACAGCAGATTTAGAAGATGTTATGGGTGGGTTTAGGCTAATTAGCTAGGTTTTAAGAGTTGGTTAGCCTAATTAAGCAGGTTTATCTAATGGGATGAACTATTTAGGCAAGTTTAAGGTTTCCTATGTGTTTAGGGCTAAATATTTAGGATATCTCTAATGGTGCGGATTGCTATTGGATTTTTAGATTGTTCCTTTTGGTGTATGGAATATGGGGTTGTGGTACATTGGGATGTATTGCACTAGTGTGGTCTCTAGTGCAATTTAGGGTAGGGATGGCATATTTGGATGAGGCAAAAGCCAACAAGTTTTTGGTTATGAAAGGCTTCTAGGTCTACTCCATGTGGTTTGGGGTTGTGAGTATCTGCGAATTGAATTAGTTAGAGGGGGTGTATACAATAAGATCAATAGATAGGCCTTCGATTTCGTTGTGCTCATGAAATGTGTTTAAAATTGTGCAGTTTTCTGAAAAAATATGTGATTATGAGAAGAGATGGAAGTATAGAGTCCAGTGGGCCTTCTTGGAAGTACATGAACGGCCTATGAGGAGTGGGATGTAGGTTTTGAACCATAGTTATTGGGAGTGGGAGAGGGAACAGCTTCGGTTTCGCGAGCGGGAGAGTCAGATTGAGAGCTGTCTAAAGCTTCAGAGCTCAGGGAGAGAGTTTTGGTGAGAGCAAAAGTTACCGATCGAGATCCCTTATGAACAGGGAGAGCGTTCCCAATACATTGGGATCGAAGTCCTTATTTAACGTGGAATGTGTTCTATGTGAAATGGGATCGTGTTCCCATGCTCATTAGGATCATGCTCCGAGACAACATAAACGGGATTCTATTTAAAGTTGAGTCGCACCCCATCTTAGAAAAATACGTTTCTATTTGAAATGGATCGAGCTCCATTCAAGGTTGGATCGCATTCCGCTTAACTTGGAGCCAATCTCCACCTATCCTCTCTCTCTCTCTCTCTCTCTCTCTATCTCTCTCTCTTGACCGGACATTCACCACCTCTTCAACCTCTGCACCCCTAATCCAATGGAACCATCTGCCAAAATGCACCCCTCTCTCTCTAACTTCATAAACACATTTGTTTGACTTCACAGTGAGTGGAGTCTTTATGTCTTCTCAAAAAGCACAACAACAACAAAAATCTACATACCCATCTCAACCTTACTGGCTAGCAGTTGGGGACCTCCATGGCGATCTCCAAAAGGCCAAACAAGCTCTGAAAATGGCTAAAATCTTCGATTGAAAACTATTAATTGGATTGTAAGCAACTCCATGGTTGTAAAGCTTGGTGATATTCTTGACAGAGGAGGAGAAGAGTTCAAGCTCCTTTATTTTTTTAGAAAAACTCAAGCAAGACGCAAAGAAATCAAATGGGAAGCTGCTAATTTTACAGGGAAACCATGAAAGCTATAATATACAAGGAGATTTCAGGTATGTTATAAACGTTGGCCTTGACGAATTCAACAATTGGGGTGACTGGTTTTCGATAGGAATTCAAATGAAAAAACTTGTAAAGGATTGGAAAAACAAATTAACATTTTTAAGGGACTACTCAAAAATTACCCATCTAGAAATAAGCTAGAATAGCTGCTTTGACTCTGGGAGGCCCAATTTCTATGAGTTTTTTAGCTAATAACCTGCTATTTTAATGGCGAGTGGCTCTGTTTTTGTTCATGGTGGGATCCTCCCTAAGGATGGAGTTCCAGGAACGTAGGGATCGTGATTCTAAAATTATGGGAGCGGGGATCTAATTTGTTTGGGAACGTATTCTGTGGGACAGTGGGAGCAAGATCCGTGCGGTAGTGGGAGCGAGCTCTGTTGTGAATGGGATCGAGAATCCTAAAAATAGGAGCGAGCTCCCAAAAAGTTGGAAATGGGCTCCGAATGAGATCTCGGCCACGAAGCGTTGGAGTTGGGTCCTGGAGCGGAAGTGCCACCCTAGTTGGGAGCTCCCGGTAACTATGGTTTGAACCTCTAAGGAAAAGATAATATGGGGTTTTGAATAACTTCATATTGAGATTGGCTCCGAAGTGGATGAGTGATCACCCCACCCCAATTCTTTTTTTTTTTTTGACAAATTTCACCCCAATTCTTTTCCGATGTCCTTGCCGATTAGGACCACAGGTGGTAATACTGGGAGTGTTTTTTTGTTAGGCTGCCCCTTTGGCATTCAAGCCTCGGTGGGGTCCTTGGAAAAGGAGACCAAGCTTGGTGATGCTTAAGCGCCAAATTGTATAATCGGGATCATTGGATGAGGCCTCGACCTCAATAATTGCCCCTACTATGATGTTGTCTCCCATCATGGGAGTGGATACTCCAATCCCAAGAGGTGAATTACCTTGGTCATGGAGGACCTCTGTTGTGGTAATGTCATTGAGCTCTTGGTCCCAATTAGGTGGGACCTCTTTTGCGGTAATGTCATTGACACTTGGTCCCCATTAGGTGGGTTGTTGATTGGGTGCTCGAGGTTAGTCCTTGAAGCAGATCTAGGTCTCTCTGTATTTTTCTTGGACGGGTTTTGGGAGTTCAACATGAGGTGCACTTCTATCCTCATCATGAACAGTAAGGTGGCCCTCAATAAGGGTCGAGAGAATTTGTTTAACAAAAAAAAAAATGTTTAATTCGCACTCCTCGAATGAAGTAAATTCATGAAGCTCAAATTAAGTTAATTTATGAAGGACAGGGTTTAGGATAATCAGAGATACACGTATTGTACGGATTCACAGCCGTCCAAGATGCATTTTGGATTCAAAGCTGTAAATGAAATTCTTTGGACAATCCATTTCAATTCTTCAACTATCACAAAATTTGCACCATTTTTGGGCTCCAAATTTATTAATTTGAGACCTAGATTTGCAATGAACTGGAACAGGGCGCTGACTCACCAAAAACTTTACCCTTCATCAATCCTTATAATTAATGGCATAAAGCATGAGGGTGCTGTAGACAATACCACAAATTACAAGTACATACTAGTATTGGACGCTCCACTTTTTCATTTCGGTTTGCAAATGGAACAATATTCAAACGCGCCTCACGCTCTGCTCCATGATGTGTTAGGGCCAGTAGATCAGGGGTAGTAATGGGCTGGGTGGGCTGGCCTGGCCTGGTTGGCGAGACCCTAATTATGACCTGGGCCACAAAACATTGTTCGAGGACTGGGTCTAAGCAGGCATGACCCGAGTGTTATTTTTTTCATCTTTTTTTTGCTTTGTTTTCTTTTAATTTTCCCTGGACCACTCCCGTCCAAATAGGGCAGATCCTTGCCTGGGCTGGCCCATTGCCAGCCCTACATTAGATCAAACTTCAACATTCCTAAATCAGGAACTCTAGTTCCTTTGAAGTTACACATCGACACTAATGTCCATAAATTAACCAAATGAATCATTAGCATACCCATAGCAAAAGAATGGTTAAAAACCCCTTAAATTCTTTATCAGGTCAATATCATTTTATCATTCCAACGGTCATTCATATCCTATTATCTGAATACTCTGCATAAAATTTCATTACCATGGCAAACAGTTAAAATAGAAGTAGCATCCAATTTCTCTGAAAAAGATCCACAAACACTCAGTCAGATAAAATAAAAGGGGCACTAGGAAAAGCCCAAATGTTATTGTTTTGACGCAACAAAAAGAGAAAAGGAACCCCATTGATCTTGAAGCTATAATAAATTGAGGCAAAAGGCACCATAGTACTTTATGAGAGGACATCCCCCTCAACTCCTGTCCCACATCATACAATAGTGAGACATCCCTTACATCATTGACTTCAATATAAATACCAAGGCTTCTAAACCTTTGGTATAAGAAACACAAACCACAATTTTCCAAATGAAAAATACTACAAAGCCGAAGCAACACTGTTTTTATTCTTTTTTTCTTTTGTCCTCGTTGTGAAGCACACCTATTCCTTTCTCACGTAAAAGACAGTAAAAATACCTACTTCTTTAATGCGGGTTAACCAACAATAGCAAGCAAAACATCCATTACAACAATAGTACGACACACACCATAAACACCTCCCTCCACCGGCTAAAGCAACATTCGTCAAACAGTTAACTCCATTCGTGAGATCAAAATCCCATCGGTATCCGCATACAACCACTCTCCATCGCAAATCCTTGTACCTGCAATGGTGATGGGCACATGCCTCTCTCCAATTCCCTTCTTGTTGGCTTTCACAGGATGAGAACCAAGGGCCCTTACCCCAATATCACACCCATTAATTTCATCTACGTCCCTTATGCAACCATTTACTACTATACCCGCCCACCCATTGTTTTGGGCCTGTTGAACAGGATTGCCACCCAAAATAGCACATCGCATGCTTCCACCTCCATCAACAACAAGGACACGGCCATTACCCTTCTCCTCCAAGAAATCACGAACCAACACATTATCCTCAAAAACCTTGATGGTCACTATGGGACCTGAAAAGGCCTGGCGCCTGCCATAGATTTGGAGGACTGGGTGGAGAGCACGAAGCTCACCACTCGATATGAGCAATGAGTTTGAGTCGCAGAGCTCGGCTGTTGCCAGTAGCGAGCTTGAGGTAGCCATGGATGTTGCTGCATAATAAAAGAGAGTTCTAGATGGGTCACATGATGTGCGCACCCAAACAAACATCAAGAGAATTCACTATAATACAATGGAATATGGAGAATGATATTCCATTGGGATCATCATAGTCCCAAGGATAGTAATGAAGAGCGAAAGGGACCCACCATTAGAATCTAGTGGGCTACAAGCTTATATAGAAACATTAGACTAGATGGGAGTACACTACATTTTCTTTGTGTTTTCACTATTTCTACATGGGCATCTGTTTCTTGCTTTTATCCACAAACTTCAGTGTAACAATAAATGCCACAATATTTGAACTATGGGCTCAGAGACAATTTTCAATGTCCTAATTATGCAATAACTCAATTAAATATCAAACCTTGCAAGAGATTTAAAGAGAGGAGAAAAAGGAAACTGTTTATCAACAAAACAACAAAACAAATTAACTCTGAAACATATGCTTGAATCTGTAATCCTATCGGCCACCTAATTGGACTCATTTAAATGTTATTTGGACAAAAGAAGAACACTTTGAGAAAAGTATACAAGCTTTAACCTCCACGTATGATGCCTCCCTTTCTGGGCCACATCATTGAACTAGTATGATGCCTTCCTTTCTGGGCCACATCATTGAACTAGGATGACGCCTCTTAATGAGATGGGGTACCTAACTGAGGCAACCATCATCCGAGGAGCAAACTTTTCACTTGTGTCTGATCATGGTGCTTTAAGTTGAATTTAAAAAATCTGAGTGTTATCTATGAAGGTGTTTTCATAATTAAGTTGTTTTCGGCTTCAAATCTTTAGTTAAAAGCATGTGACTGATAATGGTGACAAATTCTAAGACTAATTTCATTGTTTTATATTATTTAATTGTCAAGATGTAGATTTGTCATTTGCCGAGTTAAAATCGAGATTCACATGAGTCCTCGTATTGTGCGTAATTAGGATTCGGATAAGTTTATTTATTGAATTGGAGTGGGGATGTTTACTAGTTTTAGGAATGGAATTCTAGGATTTCGTAGGAAGTTTAGGGCTTTATATGTTTATGAATAAAGTAACATGTCCATTGTAAGGAGGATGGCTTTTTTATTGAAATTACAACAGAACTTTTTGAGTTCTAGAGCTATGGGGCTCAATTAATGGTTATTTATCATTTGAGTATTTCTAGCCCCACCCAATTATTGCAGCAAAAAAGTAGTAGACCAGCAGGATCGACCACGCCGGATTAGAGATTTGATAGCCGCACGAGTTCTTTGAGACCCAAGTTGTGCAATCATATTATACTTGACTCATAGGTTGGACAAACTGATAGATCAGGTGATCCATTGAGTTATAGACCAGGAAGCATGTCTGGTAAGTATGAGCAGCATGTGATCAGCACTGTCTACCCAAGACCTCATAGATATTTTCCAAAAACTTTAGAAGAGAATCTAGATGTGGGTGTCTTTTCATATTGCAAGATTGAATCACCAATAATTGGTAAGCATATTATGGGGATCCAAAAGAAGGGAAAGACAAAGAAGTGAGTCATCCTTATCCCCCATTTTTATTAAAAAAAAAAAACCTGGGCGCTGGGCACCCACGTTGAGGGGCATTTCCGCCCGTGGGAGGGCACAGGCCCTGGGCGGCCACCCAGGGCTTGGTGCTGGGCGCCCTCCTAGGTGGGTTCCCTAGCACCTAGGTGGCCGCCTAGGGGCAGGCTGCCTAGGCCTGGGTGAGGCGCCCAGGCTCTCTAGACCGCCTAGGCACTGGCCCCTCTGGACCACCTAGGCACTGGGCGCTCCACCTTTTAGAACACTGGTAAAGATAATCAACTAACCATGGCTTGTAATCTACAAACTAACCACATGTTTTAGTTTTTTTAGAAAATTGGAACTTGTTCTAAAGGTTTGTCAAATTTTTTTATAATGGCAGATAGAGCCCCTATATTCCGAAAAGGATTCCCTTGGTCATTCCTGAGATATCTCCAAACCCCTCCTTCATAGCATGGAGCAGCATACAGCTGGAAAATCATTCACCACCACTACTGTCTTCCTATATGAATGTTATATATGAAGCACTAGACAGGCCTGGCAGCCATGTCCAACTGGCCATTGTAGAGAGAGTGCGAGAGATATGAAAACTGCTATAAGTTCAAATAATTGTCATTTTCTGTAAATGTACTTAAAGAGTAAAGAATTTTCTTAGTTCTCTTATGTAATTGTACATTTGAGGCACCTCAAAAATCAAAATCATCATAACAACCTCCTGTAGAATGACAAGGAGATTGTCGCACACTGACAAATAAATCTGAATACAAGTTCAATTTAACGTCAGCCTACTGCAAATAATATTAGTCCATCGATAAACATTCCAATTATATATATGCTCAGAAAAAGTCGCAAGCAACTTCTTTCTCAAGCTGCACTCATCCAACTCAGATTACATGCCAACGTTCTTAAATTCTTTAGTTGAGGTGAGCTACAGACAGTTACTAATTGGGTAAATTACCTTAGTCCCTATGATATAATTCAGCTAACCTTGAACATTTGAAATGAAATTCCCTATCAAGTTCTAGATATCAATTCAATCTTCTAGTAAAATAACATTTTCATCAAAACATAGCACATATATGAGTTTGTGTTTGAGAGACAATGTAGAGAGCAGAGCAGTGTACTACGTATTCTTTATTCTTCAATGTAAAATCAACGGACCTGTTTTGTCAATATATTCCAGGTATTGCATAATATTTTTTTTTTTATAAAATTTTATCACTTCTATTATTTTTTAACTATTTGAATTTTCCCTATTTCTAAGTATTTTTCCCGAACATAAATGAGATTTCACGAGCCCTCTTGTGGACATGGGCAAGACTCAAGTGAGTCCACTTGGACACGCCTGAGTTGAATCCTAAGCACGAGTTGAGTAATTTAACAGTACTCGTAACAACATGTGCCTCCTGTAGGTCACCCAACGCCTAATTTTTCGGGCATATTTATTAGTGTTTGTTCTCATCCCATTTACGCTTGGAGGTGCATCACTGTAGCTAAGATTGCTAGCAGTGTTGTTTCGGAATACATTGCGTAAGTGATATCGTTAACAACGTGTTGTACAATGAGTTGTTCACTTTTCTAGCATTTTAGTATTTTACCTTCAGTGGTATCTCTACCTATGGTACTCAGGCTATGAAGCATAGGAGGTACAACTATGTGGAGTGATTGAAGGCTTGACCCATGGTTGTTTCTTCAAAACTTTCAAAATTAATTTAGGTCTGATTCACTCAATTTATGTGGGTGAATTAACTTGAGGTACCCTAATTAAAACACCTTGAAGTTTGGTTAAAGGGCAAAATGGGAGAAGTAGGATGACACAAACATGACTTTTCACATTCTTTCTAACTTCTTGAAACATGTGCTTACTTTTTCCAATCTAGGCCACTGTTTCATTTGTATCTAGAAAAACAGGTAGACCCAAGTCTCAACTGTTTTTCAGGCTCCATAAAATCACATTGGGTTCCCATGCTTCCTTGAGCAGAAAAAGAACTTCATGTGTTTTTGTTTTTGGCTTTTCACTTATCTTCTTTAGATTTGTTGGACTTTCATTGAAGAACAGAACACAAGAAAAAGTGGGGAAGTGTTCTCCAAAATCACAAAATGACTCTTATTGCCTCAAACCTCAGTTGTAACCAGATTTTGTCTTTTTGATCATTAAACAAGAATTGTGATGCAGCCTCTGGCTAGGACAAGTCGTGCTAACGATATTGTGCAACTTGTTATGCAGGATGTTCTTAATAAAATGTTTTACGACAATTGATAAGTACCCAGGAGTGGCAAAGAATAAGTGGTATTGGTATTAGTACAATAGAGGGTGAGTTTCCTATACATTTTATTAAAAGAATGAGTTAAGAGGTCTCCAACGATTTTGGAATGTTTTATATAGAATCAGTACATTTTCATATTTACCATCCTATCTATTTGCAGATTTCACCACCATATATGCAATATTGGCTATCGGCAATGCTTCATGTGATCTCTATATTGACTTTCCCTCTATAATCTATCAAAGGATTGAAAGTTAATGAAAAAATAAGTTCACGAGAACTAACTAGGCCATCTACAAACATGATGAACATGATTCAAGAAAAATAAGACAGGGAAGACAGAAGCCATCAGTAACTGTAAATGAAATCAAGAGGATCACATGACATGATTTCAACGTGGGCTTCATTAAACTTTAGAGTTTTCAATTACAGAAGCATTTATCATGAAAATATCCAGAAGCAATGTCATTAGCAAAATGTCAAAGATCTCTTCCACAGTTCCAAGAACCAGGGAGAATGGAAGTCCTAAGCAGTTCAGCTCCAGCCATAAAGCTACATTCCTTTAATGTCAAATCAATGTTGCAAACCATGTCTCTAAAAATCAGAAAACACGAAAGCCTCCATAACTTCACCAGTAACCATCAATCTTTAGACGCCAAACTGCTCCCATGTGCATCAAAAACAACAAATGATGATCCATAGCAAAATCTCTAAATAGAGTGGGATACACAAAAGATAATCTCTTTCATCAAAGTGAATCATAAACGAGACAAGGACGGGGAGATTGAAACATTATACAGGCATGACAAGAAGACCCAACCTCCATATCAATCAAATCTGAAGAAGGGCTAAAATTATACATGATATAGTGATCAATTACTTTTCCTAGAACCCAACAAGCTCATGGAATGTAAAATGTAGAACCATAGAATCATAAACCATGATCTATGTGGGCATGACACACAGTGAATTGTGTGAGTCAGCAATAAGATCTGAAGAAATCATGGCTGGAAGAACCAAAGAGCAGTACCAATCACAAAATCAAGGCAACACTAGGATCACAATAATGGTTGTGGCTTGAAGAGCATAAGAGCAGTTCCAAGAAAATGAGCCATCACACGAGAAGTAAGAAAAGTGCAACTGATTTACCTTATCTTTATGCAGCAACAGAATGCACAATTGATTCAAATGAAAATAAGGGATCACAAGGTAATTCTCAAAAGATAAAAATGTCTTATTAATAGAAAAAGAGAGACAAAGTCCACTGATACAGAAAATATACAATGTTAAGATTTAACGAATCCTAGAGATGAGTATAGTGGCACCAAATAGAGATTACATCTAACCATAGAACACAATAACCTTAAAAACTGAGAAGCCATTTCCAATAGCAAATCAAAGGAAAAAAAGAGGCAAACCAAGAGTAATGTTGCAAATGAAGGAGGAAGTTGCATAACTCTACACTCCGTGACCTTAACTCCAGATACACCATAGATATCTAATAAATTACAAATTCAATAAAGAATCTAAAGATCCAATTCATTCAATAGAACAATGAATCAAAAGGAATAACCAAATCAACTACCCAACCGCAAACAATTTACAGTGAGTTCAAAAAATACCCTACTAAAGACACAGATCAGAAGCTCATATACTCTCCTATCACTAAAAATAAGAACCCACATCTTATAACTACGTATAAAATAGCAAACCAACGAATGCACTTCAGCAAGAAAACGGATGCGCTAACGCGCCCCTTGCTTCTTGCTTTCGAGCTATGACTGGGAAAGAACATGTAACATTACAGGCAAGGAGTTTCCAACTTCAAATGATGGGCCAGAAGCGCAAATCATAATATCAGAGCAATCTTAGAAGAACAAGCAATGCTCAGACAAACTAAATACAACATAAAAAGTTCAAGTATTCAAATCAAGAAAACCATCCATGAACTGATGACATAAAAGACACTTGCAGTAGTTTTAGAGAGAGATGGCATAGAATTGGACTGCACAAGGACAGATACCTTATGAAATGCAGAAGCCCTGATCTGATCAGAAGATGTTGAATTTCATGAGTGGAAGGCAGACCCTAAAATGGATGGAGAAGATGGAGTGAAGTAGCAGCCCTTCCATTTAATTTATCCTGAGTGTAAAAATGGGGACCCGAAATTGACTGTTGTGTCTGATATCCATATATTAATTCTTGGTGGCATTAACTTTGTCTTCGGGTTCCATGGTGCGATCGGACAGCAGGAGAGAGAAAATTGAGGAGCGATGTAAGTGCCCAGAGAGAAAAAGAGCGAGGGAGGGAAAATTGTTTCATGCGGGCTGGACCGCATTTCTATATTTTGGAGTATCAGATGGATGCGAATGGGTGATCCATTTAAAAACAATTGGAACTAACGGTTCAAATATTTGTTTTAGAGTAATAATAATGTGAGACCTTCTTAATTCATGTATGTAAGATTTTAAAAAGATCGTCATTAAATTTGACACAGATATCTAGTAATCACATAAACGTGGAACTTGATTTTTTAAAAAATTTGTGTCAAATTTAACGGTGATCATTTGAAATCCTACACATATAAGTGTGGGAGGGTTTCATAAGATCATTACTCTTTGTTTGTTTTAATATCATTATTATTTTTTATTTTTAAATTTTTTTGGGCCTAGTTCTATGAGTCCAAGCCTCCATATGTAGAAATACGGGCCTCTTAATAAATTTATTTTTGAGATGGATTTTAAGATTTAATTTTTAAGGATATTTAATCTTTAACATGGAGATCATGAATATGAACAAATAAATAAAATTTAAAAATTAAAAATAATAAATCTAACAAAAAAAAATATTTATATAATTAGTTTAAATTGTTTTTAGATGGACCATCTACTTGCTTTAATCTTTAATATAAATGCTTTACACTGTTTGGACCGCAAATCTAGAAATATGGTCCAGCATTTATAAGACAATTTTCCTTTTTTTTTATTTCGGATTCAAGCTCTAAAAATTAAGATCAAATTATATGTTAAAAATATTTATTGCCATGTCCGTATTTCTACAAGCGGGCTGGCCGCATAGAAACCGTGGCCGAGGGAGACATGCAAAGTGTACGTCAGCACAGGTGCGAAAGCGTGATGCCTGCAAACACTTCGCTTTCCTAAGTGGTGGCTAGAGGCTACCTGTGCTTCCCCAATCGGCAACTCCCGCGGGAGTAGAATGCTCATTTACTCCATGGGGTAAAATCACACCTAATTAATTTTAGGACCCTTTTGGGGGTACAAACTGTTCAGGTGATATATTAACATCAATACAAAAAAATCTTAATTATACCCGCATGCATTTAAAAAAATAATATCTCAAGTTTGAATAGAAACTATGTTATTTTTTTAGATAGTGAAATCTACGCATTAGAAATCTCAAATTTTAATTTTTTTAGAATAATTATCTATTAATTATTACATAGTTCCAAAATTTCAAATCGAAAATCCCAAATAGGTCTTCTTATTGGAAGTAAATAGTTTATATAAGGTTGCAACCTCAAAAATCTATCAGAAAAGGTTGTTTTAACGTTGAAAAACCATGTGATTGATCATCTCGACATCAAGATGTATGACTATGAAAAATAAAAATATTTTGAGTCTCAGAAATAGTGCATCTTACAACATATTATCTACACCTTCTATTTTCAAGATTTTCATATGTTTATAGATCTACTTGATTTTAACTATTTTTAGAATTTAAAATTTTATAATTAGATATAAAAATAGATTTTGTGATAATCCAAAGAATATTTTACATCAAAATTACATATCATGATAAAATCTAAAGGTGTACCTTAGTTGGATTGTTTGAGGTTGCAACCTTAGTTGGATTGTTTAAGGTTGCATTATACTATGGGCAATGATTCCATGCAACCGTTGTATAGTAATATGAGGCAACAACTTTAAAAAACCATCTGTGGCCATTTGTTTGAAATATACACTCTTTTCATTCTAATGAACAATCACAAAAAAATAAAAAATTGAAAACACAACCTAGAAAGTATTTTTTTAGCCCAATTAACATAGGCCGTTCATTTTGGTGAAATGCTTAGATCTAGGCTTTAGAAAGATTTTTTCATTTCCAATTTTTTTGGATGGCTTTATTATCATTAGATGAACAATGTTAAAAAATACAAAATGATTTTATGTTTACAAAGGCTAAGATCTTGAAATTGACAAAATGAATGGTCTAAATTTGTTTTTGGAGGGGACTCATTTTGACCATATCTAAAGTTCAAATTGAACTTTTTTTGGGGGGGGGAGGGATTTGATTATTGATATGAAGAGAGTATATGTGCAAAATTTCGAATCATACAAATATCACACACATAGTTTTCTAGAAGTGTCGTTGCATTATACTATAATACAACCGTTGCATTGGATCATTCCTCTTATACTACTATACAACCATTTGCATTAGATCATTTCCCAAATGTGTAAACTATGCTCCCTCGCCCTCGGGAGCATAGTATACGGGCAATTCCACTTGTGACTGGGATGGTTTGACGGCCTCCTAGTCTGCATCGCTGGGCTACACTCAGTCCCACCATGCAGGGCAGAAAGATCTTGTCCAGTTGATTTCATTATGGCTCTTGGCCAACCACTTCTAATCCAGGGATTATAGTCAATAGAAAACATTTCCAAATTGTAGTTTTCGAAAGAAAGAAATATATATATATATATATATATATATATATATATATATAT